AGCTGGATTCAGATGACTGTTTGGGAGAAGGGGCTTCTCAGACTCCACTTTGGGCGAGTCTCCCCCAAGCCCGCTGGCTGTGCAGCAGAGTAGATCTGCCCAGGTCCTGGAACACTCAGAGTGGGAGAGATGGGCTGGGCCATGATATGGGAGCAGCACGCAAGTCACTCTGCCAGGGAGGGGTGCACACCATTACCTAGTGGCAGCTGGTTGATCTCCAGTGACACGACGGGAAAGTGAAAGACATGCAAAACACCGGCACTGCACCTTCCCCTTTTTCCTCTGCCTGGTGCCTCGGGACCTGCCAGAAGCAGGGGAGTCTCACAAGACGTCTGTTTTCCATGACAGATAGAGTGATGGATGCTTCTCCTTTTATAATAGTATGGATTATTTATTAATTTAAATTGCAATAGGCACCAGGGCCCAATGATACTAGTTCTTTACAGACACATAATGAGGAGTCAGTCCCTCTCCACAAAGAATAGTAATAGAGATGTAGCCGTGTTAGTCTGGTCTTGCTGCAACAAAAGACAGGCGTATGCAGAACTTTAAAGACTAACAAGATGGTTTATTAGGTGATGAGTTTTCGTGGGCCAGACCCACTTCCTCAGATCAAATTGTGGAAGAAAATTGGCATGACCATATATACCAAAGGGATACAATCAAAAAAAGTGAACACATAAAATTGACAAATCAGATTTTAGAACAGACGGGGGTTGGGCAGGAGGTTACTGTCTATGAGATAATGATATTAAGGGTGATAATTGGGGAAGCTATCTTTGTAATAGGTAAGATAATTAGCATCTGGATGGGAGCTGGAGGCATGTAGGTAACAGTATGAGTTAGCGACACAGCCATGGGTACCCGTATGGCCCCACAGTACGCTAACATCTTTATGCCTGACTTAGAACAACGTTTCCTCAGATCCTGTCCCCTTTTACCCGTTCTCTACTTATGCTACATTGATGACATCTTTATGATCTGGGCCCAAGGCCAAGAAACACTGGATGCATTCCACAGAGACTTTAACAACCTACACCCAACCATCAATCTCAGGATGGACCATTCTACACAAGAGATCCATTTCCTGGACACCACAGTACAAATCAACAATGGTAAATTAGATACCACTCTCTAACCCACTGACTCATACAGTTACGTACATGCCTCCAGTTCCCATCCAGAACATACCATATGATCCAAGTTGAGCATAACATGTAACAAAGCCACATTAAATTACTTTTTTAATTAATTATACAAGTCAGTGGTATCAGACATGTAAATGATGGAGAAGTTGTTCCTTTTAACTTTTGTACTTTCTATACATGTGTTACAACAACAAAAATATTTTTCAGAGACAGACCACGTCTCCATTTGCCGGAGTATTGACACTCTGGCGATTGATCCTCTGGGGTTTGATTTAATGGGTCTAGTATAGACCAGCTAAATCAAATCATGAGGTAATGATTGGTGATGATATTCCTCACAGTCTGAGTAGTAAGGGAAGTTAATGGGAGCATTTCCCTTGGCAATCTTCCATGGTGGGCCACCCCAGAAAATTGGTGCAAGGTATGCCAACTCCAGCTACACAGCTGGAGATGCATATCTTGCACTGATTTTCTCTGCCAGCATAGACCTGACACTAGTTTGGGGTAGGATTGTTTTTTCATAGCTCAGAAAAATCTGTGCTGATACAGTGCTTTTTATATTTGTAAGCATTTTTAGCAACATGGCAAATGTCTTTGTACATTCCAATATAAATTCTTCAGTGTTCGGGTTTTCCTTATACAGTAACAGTACTAATAAGGACAGAAAAAACACTGTTTATTACTGTAGCTGTTACACACAAATTCTATGACACCTTTGTATACAAATGAAAGATGCTGTTCTATTTTGTTTATCATAAATAAAACCTGATTTGGTTCATATTTTGAATATTGTTCATTAAACATAGTGTGTTGATGGATTGCCAGGTTTAAACCATTCAAACGAATCTTTTTGAATTTATTCTCAAATTAATGAGATGTGACCCAGTGTAATCAAACTCATCCCTCATGCCTAGCCTGGTCGTTTTCTTAACCCTATTGCATATCTAGTGACTGAGTGCCTCAGAGAAGCCATAAATTGATAATGGGTGTGTGGGAATTAGCTTGTCAGGTAGGGACAGAATTTAATTTAAAAAGCTACAAACGTTAATTGTGTGCGACTAGAGAAATAAATATAAAGAAAAGAGGCTTGGGAAGCATAGCACCATGGGAAATAAATACAGTTAGTGTCCAGGAAACTTGCCCTGTGGTTATGGGTGAGTTAGATGTTACATATGAAGAGAAAACTATGACAATAACTGATCTGAGTCAAGTTATCTTACAAGTATGGACATATATCTGGTAAAAAATTCAACAGCAACAGCAATGAACTCCAGATTCATTTCAGATAGGAAATACAAAATTGTTTATATTCAGTGGCTGGCCAGAATCAGGCAGCATGTACCAAATATTTCTTCCTCTCCCAAACCCCAGCCATTGCCAATTGACTCTACTGCACCATTTCCAGCACCAGCAGTACCAAGTGGAATGGCCTTATGCAATTTGGTGTTCAATGTGGGACGGGGCACTCTGCATATGACCATTCTGTATTCCCACGGCAGACACCGTGCTCTCTCCAACAATTGCCATGGTTTGCAATAGCTGTTAGATGGAACGTGTGCCTCAAGTGCCAACCGGAAGCCCTGGCACATTTGAGGAAATGTTTGTCTGTTGCTGGCCAGATGTAAGACATGCTCATCTTGATGCACTCAGCCTGCAAGAGAGTGATGAGTTCACCACAGAAGTTCACTGACATTTTAGACCTTGGCGTAGTTACTTCATGTCAGGTAGAATGCCAACATACTATACAAAGCTTTGTGTGCCTGTCAGCCAAGGCAGCATTCAAGAGGATGAGCAATCAATAGAAAATGGATGGAGAAAGGTTGGGCCCCAGTGGACTGGCTATATTCAGCACATGCTGAGAGGGGAGGCATGGCAGATATAGACCCAAACTTGTGAGAAACAATATAAGACACAATTAAACACCCTAATGAGCACGTGCCAATACAAAGATTAGGATTTTGATTGTTAACACAAAACATTTGTGTTATACCCTAGTCCTCTGTCTGTGCACTTTGTCAAAGCTACTCAGCCAAGGTTGGAAAATGATGAACTGCCTAGTCTGAATGTGTAGGGAGTGGAAAAAGCAATGATAAAAATGAAGTCAGCCCTGCAAGTTAATTCTGTCAGCTCTGTGTTTTCGTCCACCTTGAAATTCACATCCAAATAAAGTAAACGGGTGTGCACTTTTATAGCAAGCAAAGACAGTTTCAAGGGATGATAAAGCAAGACTTTTTAGCAAGGAGGAGCAGGCTGAGAGAGGAATAATATGCACAGTACTCTGCTTGTGTGGCAGAAAAAATGTCTCCTTAGATCTGACAGGAGCAAATAAAGTCTAAACCAGCCTCACAACTGAAGTCATCAGACTGTGCCCTGGGGAGCTCAGCAAAAGTCAACGGGAATGAATCTTGGCAGCTGTCACTCCACAATCACTGCTGCAGCCTTGGTGTTCTCCGACTCCTGTGCTTTCCTGCCACAAGCCAGATTCAGGCAGACACCCCAGCAAGAGCCTAGCCCATCACACCCTCAAAATCTCTTTTCCCATTGGGATGCAAGGGCCCCTCTAAATACAAACAGCAGTCTCCTCATATCCATTGGCAATAAGGTTTGATTTGTGGAGAACTGGAAATCCTCAGCTGGAAAGGCAACTGGTCTTGTCCTACTCAATCCTCTGAGTGTGACTGTGTGTTAGTCACATTAACCCATTTACTGGGGGATACAGAGTTGGAGCTTTGGCAAGTAGGCCGAAGATGGCAGACTTGTCAGGCTTCCCACCATAACCTGCTAGCCAATGCAAGGCCATGGTCTCATTTCAGCTCTCTAGTAGCAATGGCCTTTTGTAGTGCTTGCTCTCAAGCAAGTGCATGGATTGCAGTTGTACTTAACCTCTCCTAGAGATTGCTGAGGTGAGATGATCCTTCCTTTTGAAAAAGTAGCACAGGAGCTGGGTGCAGTCTGGCTCTTTGAAGTGCCTCTGCTGTAAGAGCAGTGCAGTGTATAGTAATCCTATATATACCTTTACAGGCCTTTAGCTGTATTCCTGGGACATTAACCAGAAGAAGCTGCTACTGCAGTGTTTCTTAAACTTTTTAAGACCGAAGAACACCAAACAATAATTTTTTTAATGAGGAACACCAAGGATTTTTGGTTGAACAACAACAAAAAAAAAGGTCGGGGGAAAGTTTTAAAAAAAAGTTGCCTGCCCCTTTCAGGGCAGTCATTTTGAATTCTGCCATGGAACACAGTTTAAGAAACACTGTCCTACTGACTCCAGTAGCAGTTCCTCCTCAGGAACTCAGTAGGCAGTGAGAAGGAGCTCTAGGTGGAGTCAGTTAACTACATCTGTGAAGGGTGTGTAAAATCCCCAGCGTTGTTAAGCCAACCTGCATCCACATGTAGATAGCACTAGGTTGATGAAAGAATTCTTCTGTCATCCTAGATACTGCCTCTGAGGGAGGTGGAAAATCTATGCTGACAAGAAAACCCTCTCTGTCAGAGAAAGTAATCTAAACGGAAGCCACTATAGAGTTCTAAATGAAGACACACCCATAAATATGGTCCATCCCTTGTATACATTAGATACAAAATCAAACAGGAGAACTGTTTATAGCTTGTAATGATTTGAATACATGTAAAGGAAACAGCCGAATTAGACATTTTGATGAACTCAGTTGTTTCTCTCTCCTACACAGAATTTGTCTGGGTGTTATCTTATATCCCTGTCTATTTGCTGAAGAAGTCAAGCAAATGCTAGGAAAGGTTGTCTTGAAGATTAGAACTGATATTTTGCTTGCCTGCTTAGATACAGTTTGTAATCCAGATCTACAGTTTAATACTCTCCAATTTGTCTGACAGGTAAGCTGCAAAGTGCTGCAATTTTTTCACCAGTACATGCTGGGTTGTAACTACTTCTGGATGCTGTGCGAAGGCATATATCTTCACACTCTAATTGTGGTGGCAGTATTTGCTGAAGAGCAGCGTTTGCATTGGTATTACCTCTTGGGCTGGGGTACGTATTTCACAATTCATATCTTCTCAGTCACTTCTTTCCAATGTTTATGGCCCTGGCATACACTGAGGACCTGGTCCTGCTACCATTGGCACATATGCCTAGATTTATTCATGGGTGTATATTAGGACCTTAGCTTGATCTCTTGGGATCCTAGATTTGTAGCTGGATTTCATTTACTGGGACCGGACAATGTGTGTACTAGTAATTAATACAGTGGGAAAGGTGAAAGAGTCATTTTGCCTATCTATATAAACCTGGCTCTGCTCTGAGGTCTGAGGGCCTGGGTGTCTAATGAGATTTGTAATCAACGTTTTAGTAATCATATTACATGATATATCTAATTAGGGTATGTCCACACTGCACACTTATTTAAAAATAAGCTCTTTATTTATTCCAAAATAGCTTGTTTTGAAATAGCACATCTATACTGCAGGGAAGCTCAAAATTAGTCCAAGGCAGGATTCCCTGATGTGGATGTGCTATCTCTATTTAGAATCCCAGGAAGCACTGGGGAGGAATAACTTAGAATGACCCTAGTGAAGGGCTATTTCGAAATAGCAGCAGTGGAGCATTTATCTATACACACCTTATTTTGAAATAGCTATTTTGGAATAGGCGTTATTCCTTGTAGAATGAGATTTACAGATTTCAGAATAAGCTGTCTGTTATTTTGAAATTATTTCAAAATAACAGAATGGCTTTGTAGACGCTCACATAGATATTTTAAAAATAATGCTAGTTATCTCGAAATAACGGTGCAGTGTAGACACACCCTAAGTGTCTCAGAGTGGTGTACTGATAAGTAAACATCCTCAACATCCTGTGACAGAAATTAAGAATCCATGCTCTGCAGAGCACAATGACAATGTAAATCACATGCACAGAACGAAGGGATCTGTATCTAGAACTCTGCTTTTTTATCTCCAAATATACAGGCCCCTGTGTATACAAGGTGTCCCTTGGCTAGGAGTAATAGCAGTAGTCCTCATCCTCCCCTATTGTTTGGCCACTAATAGACAACACATGCACATACACACAGCCAATCCCTTAAAGTGCGATGTGGACTCTTTCACTTTAAAATCACTTGCTGTAAATCCAGCCCTAGTCAGTGGTGACAGAAAGTCCTGATCATTGATACTTCCTTTAGTTGGCTACGGATGATGAATTTCTGATCTCGCTCCAGTCCCTGGTGAACAAGTGCCCAGCCCATTTCATAATACCCACTAAAACATCAAGGAAGCAGCTCAGAGATCTTTGTCCTGCTCTTTATACCCATTTCAGTGTTATTTGCCCATGTCTATCCATTTCAAACCCACACTGCAGTCGACAGAATTTACCCTGTGCTGTCCAGCACTCCCCTGTAAGTTTCTTGTCAGAATAAGCTTCTTTTAATTTATGATAGGAAGAAACCAAGCCTCACCAGGGACAAAAAACATTGTGGGCTTCGATATAAACTAGATTGGACAACAAGACCTGACTTGATCCTGCACTTTATGCCCAGCCACTTCCCAGGCCTCCTGTGGAAGTGACCACAGAATATAGTGCTTCTCCCCTTTCATTGGGAGCGGCCTCTTCTTCAGAGTGGGCAACCTCCTTGCTTCCTTAGCAACGGGGGACTCAGAAACACCACTGATCAGACTTTAAAAATTAAACAGAACTTAAGAGCTTCTCCAATTTTAAGCCCCATGAGAACATCTCCCTCTTATAAATCCCAGAGTAGATAAAAATTGTCTCTCCCTTTCTTGTGAGATTGACAACATTCATGAGAAGAGAGGGGTTTGCATAGTCTGGGGGTAAAAATGCATGGAGCATTAGAAACCCTAACCAGGGAGAAGTCTTTTCTTCCAACTACAGTAGACTTCCAATAATCTGGAACCTATGGGACCTAGGTGGTGCCGGATTATCAAATATGCCGGACTATCAGGAGGTACTATAAGCTGGTTTTATATATATATATATATATATATATATATATATATATATATATATATATATATATATATATATATATATATATATATATATATATATATATATATATATATATATATATATATATATATATATATATATATATATATATATATATATATATATATATATATATATATATATATATATATATATATATATATATATATATATATATATATATATATATATATATATATATATATATATATATATATATATATATATATATATATATATATATATATATATATATATATATATATATATATATATATATATATATATATATATATATATATATATATATATATATATATATATATATATATATATATATATATATATATATATATATATATATATATATATATATCCAGGCAGGAGAACAATTTATTTTGGGTCACATTTAAATATTTCCTTCCTACACAGCAAGAGAGTGGCCAGTTAGAAAGTCTAAAATGTGGCTGGTCATTCTAGGGCATGGCTGGCTTCACTTTAAGACATGCCACCAAGGCATTGGCCCTTAGTTTACAGAATAAAATGTGTAAATTCCTGTTTTGAGGCTAGAGAATTTAAACGATCTGTTTCTGAAAACCCTCTCTATATACAACACTGTATAAATACAATAATTTGATTTCATCACTGTCAGTTTCAGCACTAGGAGAGCAGGCTTTATTTACCAGACCCACTAAACAATGGTTTAAAAAAGATTTTTAAGTAAAGAAAATAACTGAGAAACTTTCCCATTCTTCCCCCTGCTGAGTAATTAAAATTCTGTAATGTGCTGACCCTGGAGGCAACTGTGTGTTTCTAGCATGATTTGTTCTAGCAACATTCTCTTCTAAGGTCTTTTTTTTTTTACCTAGTATTATTTCAGTGTTTTAGTAAATTATCCCTAAATTACTGGTCAGGAGAAATAGTTACAAATGCACTCAGTTATGGCTCTGTTTTGCTGTTTCAAACAGCCTGAACTGCATTTAATTCAATGGGGGACCATTGGATACGGCAGTGCTGAAACAGACTCTTTCACAATATAACTGGAAGTGCACTCAAGCCTAACTCCATTTTGTGCTGTAGCAGGAACAGGCCTCGCTTCTAGGGATTTGTCATATTTATCACCGGGCCTGGCTCCTTTCAGATGCTTTCTAGAGGCTACAATTTTTCACACAGCCCAATATAGGGACAGCACATAGCTGCACCACTCTGAGGAATGACCAAGAGTTATGTTACAGGTGCCTAAAGATCTATGGTGCACAGTCTCCAACTAGGCTTCTATACTAGAAGGGCTTCTATGCTAGACCTGGAAGGTTGGCTTAAAGTACACATCTCCAGCTATGTAAATAACCTACCTGAGGTTGGGTTACCTTAAACTGAGCTTGGCACTGTCACCACAATGGGAGGCTGATGAAAGCAAATGTTCCTGTTGGCTTCCCTTACTCCTCACGAAGAATAGGAGTACCGAGGCACCCTCCGTGTTTGATTTAGCAGGTCCTTACTAGACCTGCTAAATCAAATGCCAGAAGATCAATCTCTGGCAAGTGGAGATGTAGCCTTAGTCAACCTAAGGAGTGTATGCTCCTTTTCATCTGTAAGGATGGGACAGATTGCTCCTTCTCTTTCTGGTGCACCAGCCCAGCTCCATGCTTGGGTCTGGGGAAAAAGAGTTGACCTATTGTCTCATCTTCTCCTGATTCTTTTGATTTGCTCCCTGGAAGAAGGAAAGACCAAGCAGGCAAAGTTTTCTGTTTCTGCTTCTGATTCACCCCTCCAAATTTTGTGGAGCGGCATGACAGCAGATCACAGTTTCACCTACATTTGGAGAATAATAATTAAAGCTAGATAAATATAAACATGCTGAATTGTAATTTACTAATGAAAAGTTGCCATAGTGATTGTAAGAGGTGCATCTGAATGTGTATAGCCAAAATCTCCGTCCACGTGCATTGAACAGAATAATAAAACACCTCTCCTTCTCTCCATGTGTAGCACTGCACCTGCAAAACCAGAGGGTTATCTGAAAATGTAAATTTTGCTGTTACTAACTGGCTCCATAAAAATGGGATCTGAACTACGTTCTTCCTGCTTCTTCTTGTGTGTCATTGTCATTAAAAACATTCCGCAACTGGGACATCACTAATAATAACTAATAATGTTGCTAGTGATGCATGAAGCAGAAGAAAACCCCAGTGTGCTCTTCAGTAGCAGTCCTAACAGTAGTGAAAAATTATTTTGGCAGCTGAGTAAGTGGATATTTCTTGACAATCCATAGGGATCAGATACAGTGACCACAATGACATCATATTTACATAGTCACCTTTCTGGCCAAGAGCTCTCTTTGAAGGGGAGCTGAACAAAGCTTTGATTGCCAAGTTCAAGTCTCAGTGGCTCTCCAATCTCTGCCACTTTCTCACAAGTCCCAGCAGTCACTCCTGACCTATCCAATTCCTGGTGATTTCTCCATCCATCCAGCTTCCCTGCTTTTCCTAGCTTGACATGCAATTGGTGTTTTTCCAAGAGTCAGGATACAGCCTGGGTCAGGGCCTTTCCATTGTGTTTCTGGGCCCCCTCCACAAACATGTTCAAGGAAAGGGGTTGTGCAGTGGTGTGGAGATTGTTGAACTAAGGTAGTTTCCTGCTAAGAAGGTCCAGCACAGATTACAGTGTTAAATAAATTAATGCTGTCATTTTAACACACACTACTTTTGCATGGCTTTTAGCCTGTTGGAATTAGAAGCAATATGCAAGCAGAGGGAAAAGCTTGGTTACTGACTCACCATGCTGTAAATGGTGGGAAACTACTATGGGATGGATGTTCCGAGATTCACAGGCTTGGGGGCAGGATTTTACACAAACACACACATCCCAATGACTGGAAGACATAAAACCTGCTCCTTCTGTGTAGAGAGTGTGTGGACCATGGCAGGATTCCACACTTTCAGCTCAGTACAATTGTTCCTTTGAACAGGATTGGCATAAAAAGAAAATCGGGCCCTCTATAGCAGACTGTAAGGGTATGTCTAGACTACATGCCTCTGTTGGCAGAGGCATGTAAAATAGGCTACCCGACATAGTCAATGAAGCGGGGATTTAAATATCCCCAGCTTCGTTAAAATGAAAAAAAGGGATGCTAATGAGACCAGTCGGAATTGCAAATGCCATGGGGGATTTAAATATCCCCCGTGGCATTTGCATGAACATGGCTGCTGCTTTTTTCCGGCTTGGGGTTTTGCTGGAGAAAAGCGCCAGTCTAGACGGGATCTTGCGGAAAATAAACCCTTTTCCGGAAGATCCCTTATTCCTTATTCCTAGTCAAGTGGGAATAAGGGATCTTCTGGAAAAGGGTTTATTTTCCGCAAGATCCCGTCTAGACTGGCGCTTTTCTCCAGCAAAACCCCAAGCCGGAAAAAAGCAGCAGCCATGTTCATGCAAATGCCACGGGGGATATTTAAATCCCCCATGGCATTTGCAATTCCGACTGGTCTCATTAGCATCCCTTTTCCGGAAAGGGGTGCCAATGTAGACACAGCCTAAGTGTGGGAACTTCCCCTTTCATGTCAAAAGAACATTTACCTGAGCTGATATGAGGATAGGAAGATCCATGATTCACCAAATTCTCCCTGCTGGTGATAGATGTGTGGAGTTGGCCCATCTGAACAGACAGTGGCTGGGAATCTGCAGGATTAGCAGAGCAAACACTCCAACATCTCATCCACTTGTAAAAGTCCTGGCTCCAGTCCACATGTTTTCTATGACCGGGACCTCAGCCTCAGTAAAAGCAGCTTGATTGCTGTACTGTTATTTGTTGCCCCAGCACCTGGCATGCAGAATAATTTGCTGCTGCTCTGCTCCATGGGAATTTACATATCAAGGAACCCTGCTTTCCAAAGGGAATACTTCACACAGAACTGCATGCGTTCTCTCTCTTTCTCCCCACTTGCCAGCATGGCTGGCCATTCCTCCTTTCCCTGCATGTATCTCAGCATGGCTGACAGCAGCTGTGAGCTGAGATGGTAGCATGACACCTTCCCATGGCCCCTTTTGACAGAAGTATCATAATTACTCCCCCCTCAGTTCACAAGAAAGCCATATAACCTGAAGTCAGTTGACATTATAATTTTTTTGTCAAAGCTTTGAATTTCCCTTTAAATGTGTATTTAAAAAGAAGACATGTTATTTTTAGTGTCATATGAAATGCATGGCAAAAAATAAGAAGGCTGATATATACCTTTAATCATTTTAGGGTTTCCTTTAGTGCCAGCATCTATTCACGCTGTTGCAAGAGCCAAATACTTCAATGACAAGTGAGTATTATATCTATTTATAAAGGTACTTAGCACATTTTATAGCTATGTCTAAAAATGTATTTGAGTTAATGATGTATTTTTCCTCCAGCTGCTGGATGAGTGTTGACACTCACTTGCTCTATATTGTTCATGGACCTGTTATGGCGGCTTTATTGGTAAGAATATTATTTATCATGTTAACAGTTTAGTTACTCTTCCTAGAAATGATGCAAGACTGCATTGAATAGAAGATTCTGTATCTTAAATGGACTGGCCAAGGTTTGCAGAAGTAGCAAGTGATTTTGGATGCCCTGCCTGAGACCCCTGAAAGAAGGGGTGGGAAACCTTCCTTCCATCAGGGATGCTGACCCACAGAAAAATTAGTTGGGGGCCACACACAAATGGGAAGCAAAAAACCCCCCAAAGCCCTAACTGAGGTGGCCCCCCAACTGAGAAGGAGAAAGACATTCCCCACGTGCAAACCATAGCCGAGGGAGGGGGGCAGGCCAGCAGATTTTATGAGCTTCAGCTCAGCGGGGGGATGACCAGGGAGACTAGAGCATTAGTGTGGACTCCCCAATGCTGGGGGACAGAGCCCCAAGCCTCAGGGGCTAGATCCAGACAAGTCAGGAGCCACAACCAGGCTCCGGGCCTTAGGTTCCCTACCCTGCCTTAAAGGGACTTGATTTTCAAAGGGTAGGTACGTAGCACTTTCTGAAAACCAGGCCCCTTGAAGGTATCTCAAGTTGGGCAATCTAACAACAGAGGCATCCAAAATTACTAATGCCTTTTAAAAATCATAGCTACTTAAACTACAGAATCTTCGATTCAATGCAGTTAATCTTTGTTAAAATTATGTGTTAACTGTGCTGCGGGATACACGGCATAAATGAATTAACTATGTTTCAGACTAGCCTTTCCAGGGTGATCTGAGACCAAGTCAATAATTCAGAATTGGTTTTCACAGATTCTGAGGCAGAAGGGAACATTGTGGTCATCTCATCTGACCTCCTGCATAACACACTCCACAGAACTTCCCTCAAAATGATTCCTGTTTGAACTAGAGTGTAGCTTTTAGAAAAATATCCAATCTTTATTTTAAAATTACTTTTCTCTAGAAACATGATAGATCATTACCAGTAACGGAGAATCACTGCTACCTTAGGTAAAGAGTTCCAGTGATTAATTACCCTTTTTGGTTAGACTCTGTGGTAAAAGGGAAGAGAGGTCAAAGAGAGGTTGTGAGCTAAATTGGGATGATGCTGGAGGTGATAAGTACCGGAATAGAATGCTTGAGAAGGGGCAACACACAGCATGAGATGGCAAAGCAAGGAAATTGCAGCAAGGAATCCCACTCTACCTTAGGTAAAGAGTTCCAGTGATTAATTACCCTTTTTGGTTAGACTCTGTGGTAAAAGGGAAGAGAGGTCAAAGAGAGGTTGTGAGCTAAATTGGGATGATGCTGGAGGTGATAAGTACCGGAATAGAATGCTTGAGAAGGGGCAACACACAGCATGAGATGGCAAAGCAAGGAAATTGCAGCAAGGAATCCCACTGGGTTTTTCTCCCTAAAGCAAGGGCATGGGGGGGCTCAGTGCCTGTCACTCTACTCCAGGCCCCATCCTCAGCCTATCCCTTCCCCAAGTCCTGCCCCTACCAGAAGAGTGCGCTCAGCAGCACTGCCAACAACTTGCTGGGCACCAGCCAGTGCAGGCGCAGCAGCATCCAAATGTCAGTCAGACTGCATTTACACGGTCATGACTTGTGCATGCTTGGGGTCCATTGACTTCTGCCCTCGGGCCCAGAATTGCCATCAGCAGGCGTGTATGGATCAGGGAACCCATTAGCTCCAGTCTCCTATCACTATCAGATGCCCACACTGGTACATAAGACCTGAACACTGACATTTTGGAAAAGTTTTTATTCAAACCAAACATTAGCTCCTAACTCAATTTGTCACTCAGATGCTCTGTGTCAGCACTGGAGAGCCAGCTTTTGTTGGCTTGGGGCGTGACATCCGCTTGTAAACATCTTGTCACACCTTGGCATTACAAGAGCAGAAAAAAATTCAGCTGTTTTAATAAATCCAGTGCTTGGAGCTATTGTAAAGAGGAGGAGCTCCCTGAGTATTCTCATTCCAGGCAGGAACATTTGTTACCACACCAAGCAGGGTGACTTTATTTTCTCAGAATACTGTTGTGCAGTTTTCCATTTCCCATACACGATTAAAAGAATTAAGCTTAGAATGGAGATGGTAAGTTTTTTTCTAAACAATTTTTAGGAGGCATACTGCATCTTGGCATTGCTAAAATCCTCTAACGGTTCTTAAAGGAGGGGTAGAAAGAGATCGGAGAGATTTTTGATTACTCTGGAACAGACCCGTGTTCATGTATAGGCATTTCCACGATGCTTATCACCACTGCATTTGATCTCTCAGGGTATGTCTACAGTACCCCGCTAGTTCGAACTAGCGGGGTACTGTAGACATACCCTGAGAGATCAAATGCAGTGGTGATAAGCATCGTGGAAATGCCTATACATGAACACGGGTCTGTTCCAGAGTAATCAAAAATCTCTCCGATCTCTTTCTACCCCTCCTTTAAGAACCGTTAGAGGATTTTAGCAATGCCAAGATGCAGTATGCCTCCTAAAAATTGTTTAGAAAAAAACTTACCATCTCCATTCTAAGCTTAATTCTTTTAATCGTGTATGGGAAATGGAAAACTGCACAACAGTATTCTGAGAAAATAAAGTCACCCTGCTTGGTGTGGTAACAAATGTTCCTGCCTGGAATGAGAATACTCAGGGAGCTCCTCCTCTTTACAATAGCTCCAAGCACTGGATTTATTAAAACAGCTGAATTTTTTTCTGCTCTTGTAATGCCAAGGTGTGACAGAGGGCAGGCAAACCTTTTCAGATGTTTAATGCTCTCTCCACTGATTTATATGTCAGCCACCCTAAGAAAAAGATTGATCATGTCTCTAGGGAAAAGTTCATCTTTCTTTAAAATTGAGCTAGTCTAGGCATGAGAAGGTGCTTAAACTGGAGTGGCAGAGTTTAAATCCCCTCTCTCAAGTGTGCATAAATCTAGTGGTTTATGGGAACCCTACCATCCTCCCTGCCACTATCCGAACACACGAGAGATGGTGATTTTTAATGGAGCTATTCCCTTTTTTTTCTTTACCCATCCAGACAAACACCCCTCCCACCCCCACTTTGGAGATTGCAGGGGCTGTGTTATTAGTTGCTGGTTTGAAACTACGCTATGTAAATGCAGCTGTGTCATGGAAACTCAGTTCTTACAGAATACACTAGATATCCGCTTTTTGCCCAGTAGAAACAGAGAGTGGAGGACAGGTTCAATGGAGCCGTGTCTTTTTACTTCGGCAGAGGTTTTTTAATCAGTTGCCTGAAAGAATTCTGAACATGAAGGTTAGGTGATTTGATTCCAAAGCCCTGGGAAGCGTGGAGCATAAACAACGAGTAGAGACAAAGAAATCATTTATTATTCCTTGTTAAGCAGAGCACAAAAGTAAAACATAAGAACATAAGAACAGCCATACTGGGTCAGACCAAAGGTCCAACCAGCCCAGTATCCTGTCTGCCAACAGTGGCCAATACCAGAGGCCCCAGAGGGAAGGAACACACAGGTAATCCTCACATGATCCCTCCTCTGTCACTCATTTCCAGACAAACAGAGGCTAGGGACTCCATTCCTACCCATTCTGGCTAATAGCCATTGATGGACTTAACCTCCACAAATCTAACTAGCTCTTTTTTGAACCCTGTTAAAGTCCTAGTCTTCACCACATCCTCTGACAAGGAGTTCCAGAGGTTGGCTGAGCACTGAGTGAAGAAAAACTTCCTTTTGTTTGTTTTAAATCTGCTGCCTATCACTTTCATTTGGTGACCCCCTACTTCTTATATCATGGGAATAAGTAAATAACTTTTCCTTATTCACTTTTTCCACAGCAGTCATGATTTTATAGACCTCTATCATATCCCCCCTTAGTCTCCTCTTTTCTAAAATGAAAAGTCCAGGTCTTTTTAATCTCTCTTCATATGGGACCCTAGTCATTTTTGTTTCCCTTTTCTGAATCTTTTCCAGTGCCAATATATCTTTTTTGGGCTGAGGCAACCACATCTGTGGTAATAATAATAATTTGTATATTATATTATTTGTATTTGTAATAATAACAGAACAATTGAGATATTTCTCAGTAGGTACAATACTGACACTTATCTGAGCATGGCTTTTCACACTGGAAGGACCAGATATGCTCACTCATGTATTCATGGAGTTACAACTATTTTAATATAACTCTGAGTAATACAGCAAAATCATTTCCCTTTTTAAAGAATCTGGCAACAGCCTATTACAATGCAGAAGCTCTGTCACTGGAATGTGCATGATATCATGACAGCAGTGTGGAAGTACATGAGCTAGATGTACTAGCAAGATGGAAAGTCCACATTCTGCTTCTTCTCTGGCTGTATTGATTCCATAGGGACCAAATGGCCTGATTTCCAAAGGTCATCAGCATGGACAGCTCCCCTCAACTTCAGCATGAGTTCATTTGAATATCTGTCCACCAATGTGAGAGCTGAGCCCTTCTGAAAATTCTGTCTGTCATGCCCCAAACTAGCAATGTACTTAAGCCTATGCTTAAGTTTAAGCACATGAGTAGCACCACTGAGTTCAGTGAAAGCTACTCATTGGCATAATTTTACATTTTGTTGGATTGGAGCCAGAGAACTCAGTGCCTTTCAGGATCGAGTTCTTACGACCCAAAAAGAGATTTAGGGGCATATCCTCCATTCATGTAAATCGGTCAGTATGGGGTATGTCTAGACTGCACCCCTCTGCTGGCAGAGGGATGCAGATTAGGCTGGGCAAAATTGCTAATGAAGCGGGGATTTAAATATCCCGCACTTCGTTAGCATAAAAATGGCCGCTGCTTTTTTTCGGCACAGAGCTTTGTCGGAGGAAAGTGGCACTCGAGAGGCTGATCTATCACGAAAGAAAGCCTTTTCCGATAGATCCTGTATACCTCGTTTTACGAGACTTAAGAGATCTATCGGAAAAGGCTTTAGTGATAGAAAAGCCTCTAGACTACCGCTTTTCTCCGACAAAGCTCCATGCGGGAAAAAAGCAGTGGCCATTTTTATGCTAATGAAGCATGGGATATTTAAATCCCCGCTTCATTAGCAATTTTGCCCAGCCTAATCTGCATCCCTCTGCCAGCAGAGGGGTGCAGTCTAGACATACCCTAGGTGTTGTAAGGCACCCAAAGTTACATACTTTGACCCCTATGTCAGTCCCAATCAGTTGTTGTTATAAGCTATGACTGGAGCCATGAATCAGGGTCTTGTTATCATTGCTGAGTTTTGTACTTCATTTGGAGTGATTTACCAATAAAGACTCTGTTTTTTTAGGTCAATTTTTTCTTTTTGCTTAACATCGTCCGGGTTCTGGTGACAAAGCTAAGAGATACTCATCGGGCTGAATCCAACATGTACATGAAAGCTGTCAGAGCCACACTAATCCTGGTGCCCTTACTGGGAATTCAGTTTGTCATTTTTCCCTGGAGACCAGAAAACAGACTTGCTGGAGAAATATATGATTACATCATGCATATATTAATGCATTATCAGGTATGGAAAATAATAACGAGTTAGGCTTACATGATATATTTGCCCTTAGGTTTAATTTTAGAAGAGGATTCTTTTGCCAAATGCTTTGTCTCTGAAAGTAATCACAACTGCTTGGGGTTTTTTCCTCCAACATTTTTCACATCATATATTACTTTCCTCAGTGTCCCTATTATTAGTGTGCAAACGGTCACCAATAGCTGAGGAAATGGGAAAAATCCTTCAAAATTACAGAATAAAGATGTTTCTGAATTCAGTAGAGAAAATTGAGATCACAGAGGGCTTTAAATGTTGTTCAAAGCCCTGCTAATGCAAATGTGCTCAGAAAGCCTTTCGAAAAGCACTGCAGTGTGAATGATATTAAAATTAACTGTATGTGGAAATTGCTGTGCCAAAGAAAAGGTGTTTATAGTCAGTGCAATAAAGGATCAAAATGATTAAAGTCCAGTTGATTGTTAATTCACTATTTTAAGCTGTTTAACTTAACATATTACACTAATATTTTTATTTTATAAGCATTTTGAAACAACAGCATCACCATTTCAAAAAGGCTGCCTTCTATAGGCATCTTCTTTTTGTACAGTAATACGTAATTTTCAATTGTTTGGCTGTCTACCCTGGCTTCAGTTCATCCTGCCTCATTTCTACCAAGGGCGACATGCTTCATGTGTCTAATAGCCGTATCACATGTGCAAATGTTTGAAGTCTGCATTCATGAAATAACTTATGTTGTTACATGTCGCTATGTAGTACGGTATGACCATATACCACTGCTATTGGAAATGTTGATAATTACAAGCAACTCATATTCCCAAAGCTCTGTATCAACTAACTTTAAGAATTCTGGCCAAGTAATGCTAGTGTAACTCACACTCCTACAGGGTGTGGTTCACTGTCCCATGCAATGGCGCTTAGACAATTTTTAGAGAGAAAGAATGAGTGAGCTCTACAGCCTTAACTGAGAGCCAGCTGCCTTTATAGCTCAAGCTGCAGTGAGACTCATGCACTAAGCTTTGATTCTTCCTGTTGGCATTACACTAGCTAAATCAACATAAGTTATTTCATGATTGCCCTGTAATTATCTCATTATGTGATCCCTACCTGGATATCAAAATGCAGATTTTATTTTTTATTTTTTTGTAGTTTTATCATGAGTTCGTTTTGGGTCATTTTCAGAGCATTTCTTTATAGCAATCTGCTATTCAGAATAGTCACATATGTGATCTCTACTCTGCTCATTTTCTTATAGCACTGCTGATGTAATTAGCAGTTATTTCTATGTATGGTTTCACTGTAACTTTTATGGTTAGCTCTGAATTATTTAAATATTTGTTTTCCAGGCATCTTCTCATAGATAGTATGACAGATTTGGGCTTTGTTTTTCAATAAGCCATTGCAACAGTATATGACAATTGTGATTTGGCATACTGAACAAACCTTCCACTTGCAACAAGTACAGTACAGACTGCAATGCTGCAATCTATTGTAAAAATAGGATGACTGAAGAGTATGAATGACAGAGTATTTGTTCCCAGAAGAAACTGAACTTTTTCACAGTTATTATTCCCAGCTGGACAACAATACAATGCGATGTTCCCTGCTAGGTTTCCCACACTGAAGGTCAATTTAAATAATAGGAGCCATTCTTGCTCTAAACTGTTCTTTCTTTATTATGAGATTTTCCTCTACACTCATGATTTTGTAGCAGAAGTGGTTTATTTCCCAGAACATTCTGCTTCACTGAAAACGTATGCTATTCATTATGGCTGCATCTAGACAGCAGCTCTATTTTGGGATACTTTCAGTATCCCAAAATCATGTTTTCTGCATCTTGACAGCATGCCCATTATTTTGAAATAGCTTTCAAAATAACAGGCACGCTATTCCGATGTCCCAGTAAATCTCGTACCACGAGGATTAAGGGACGTTTCAGAATAGTGCTCTATTTTGAAATACGCTTGAAATAAGCTACGCAATTTGCGTAGCTCAAATTGCACTGCTCATTTTGAGCTACGGATCCAGTGTAGACACACCCTATCTAGCCTATGATAGGCTATTTGTTCATTTCTCAAGTGTAGGAATTATCACATTTGTTACTGCACATAGGCTTTAATCCTCCTAGCAGATCTGTGGAATTGACCTGTAGATTACAAAAGGGAAAACTTTTTTTTTCCCCAATGGTAGCACTAAAAAAATGTTGTAGGCTGGTGGACTCAAATCACCAGCCTTGAAAATATAATCAGCCACGCCCAGTTCAGTTCATTGCCTTTGCCTCCATGATCTGGAGCAGCAAAAAAATGTAATAGCTCTGTTCTTAATTTTGATTGTGGGGCTTCCTAGATTCTCACAGTTTACTGGACAAAACACCCACTCCAGTAGGAAGTAGTCCATGGAACCTTTACAGCAGCCAGAAAAGAATATATTCCTGGCCTTCTCCTGGTCACAAACTCTCTTAGGAAGTTGGGACCATTATTTATAACCCCAACTGGTAATTAGAAACAATCACCTGATTTTGTCAAGCTCATTGTAGTACTTCTCTGCTGGTCTCTCTGGAACAGGGCTGACTGCTCCTCCAAACCCTTTGACCCTAAAATCCATGTTACTTACAAATAAATTCTCTGCTCCAGATATGAATATTTGCTCTTTCTGCACCACAGCCACCATGGTTCCAAAGGATCTATCAAATGGAGCTATATAGCGCCCCTCATCATCACTGAGACAAGTTGTGAAGTCTCAAATTATGTGGAACTGATGATGACTTCAGACAAAAAGATACTGCAGCTCTTAAGGAGTATTTAATGCATAGCAGCTATTTCAGAAGCAGAAGCTCTAGTTAGAAGGATGGACACATCCATCCAACTGAACAGAGACATCCACTAATGTAAGGCTACATCTAAACTGCATTGCTTTTTCAGGATACCGAAGGTATCCCAAGAAAGAAACACCACATCCAAGGAACGCGTCCGCTTTTTCGAAAGAACAGGCATAATGGATGGCTCAAAAGAGCACTTTTTTCCGAAATTTTGCACCATGTAGACGCACCAAATTTTGAAAAAGCCTCTTTCAAAAGTAAATCAGAAAAAGATATGCAATTTGCATACTGCAAATTGTGTATCTTTTTTCGATTTAAAATTGCAATGTAGACGTAGCCTAAGTGTCACAAAGCAAAAATTTGAATTCCAGATCATTGAGTTAATTATGGATTTTCCTTAGGCAACATGTACAATCCTATTGAAGGCAATAAAGTTGCCCAACTGTAACTGAGGGCAGATTTTGGAGACAGTGGAGATGCACCCAGCACCAAGTTCATAATGATGCTAGTGGCACCAGGCCCACATGCAAAAGGGGACCTAGCCACCAGACTGTGTCCCCATATTCTGCCCCAAGGCCCCACCCACTCTTGGCCTCTTCTCCCCAAAGCCATAACCACTGCTCATGCCTCTCTACCCCTTCATCGTCTCCTCACTCCTCTTTACTCCCTTACCCTATGCAAGCAGTGGGTAGAATCTCCCAGAAGAACACAGGCAGGGCCTCAGAAGGAAGAACATAAGAAAATAAGAATGGCCATACTGGATCAGAACAAAGGTCCATCTAGCCCAGTATCCTGTCTGCCGACAGTGGCCAGTGCCAGGTGCCCCAGAGGGGGTGGACCGAAGACAATGATCAAGCAATTTGTCTCCTGACATCCTTCTCCAGCCTTTGACAAACAGAGGCCAGGGACACCATTCCTTACCCCCTGACTAATAGCCTTTTATGGACCTAACCTCCGTGAATTATCTAGCTCTTTTTTAAACTCTGTTATAGTCCTAGCCTTCATAGCCTCCTCTGGCAAGGCATTCCACAGGTTGACTGTGTGCTGTGTGAAGAAGAACTTTCTTGTATTAGTTTTAAACCTGCTACCCATTAGTTTCATTTGGTGTCCTCTAATTCTTATATTATGGGAACAAGTAAATAACTTTTCTTTATTCACCCTCTCCACACCACTTATGATTTTATATACCTCTATCATATCCCCCCTCAGTCTCCTCTTTTCTAAACTGAAAAGTCCCAGTCTCTTTAGCCTTTCCTCATATGGGACCCGTTCCAAACCCCTAAACATTTTAGTTGCTCTTTTCTGAACCTTTTCTAATGTCAAAATATCTTTTTTGAGGTGAGGACATCACATCTGTACTCAGTATTCAAGATGTGGGCGTACTATAGCTTATATCGGGGCAGTAAGATATTCTTTGTCTTATTTTCTATCCCTTTTTTAATAATTCCTAGCATCCTATTTGCTTTTTTGACTGCTGCTGCACATTGCATGGACGTTTTCAGAGAACTATCCACGATAACTTCATGATCTCTTTCCTGATTAGTTGTAGCTAAATTAGCCCCCATCATATTGTACGTATAGTTGGGGTTATTTTTTCCAATGTGCATTACTTTACACTTATCCACATTAAATTTCATTTGCCATTTTGTTGCCTAATCACTCAGTTTGGTGAGATCTCAAGCATGGGTGGAGTGAGGAGCAGGGCCATGGTCTGGGCTGAAGGACCAACAAATCCAGCTGTAGGTGCACAGCTATAACTGAGGGTAACATCAAACCTGCAAAATCTTTATTGCTGGGAAGAGGCACAATCCAGAAAGCAGGCAATCTGGCTGCAAAAACTCCAGCTGAGCAATTAGCAAGCACCTCTTTAAGGGTAAAATGGGCAACTGTAATAGGGAGTCATTGAGAGACAATCCCAGTGAAAACACATGGAGCTATTTTTATAAGCCCCCTCTCAGAATGCAACTCCACTTTAAGACACTGAAGTCAAGTAAAAACTAAACTAAATAATTGTCAAACAAAGAAGTCTTAGACCAGCATTGGCTTCCAAACATGGGAAAAATCTAGCCATCAATTCGAAAAGACATACACATGTCCCAAGGCTGGTAAATTTGAAGATATGCCGGGGCAAGGTTCAACAGCAGTCTGTGATTCAAGTGGTCTTCATAGAATTATCGGTAGTTAAAAAAAAAGAATTTCACCATAACTAAAGGTGTTGATCCCAAAATAACATCAGTACTGACATATGCTTTCCAGACCCAAATCAATTTTATCACGTATCTCAGACAACATATAGCAGTGGGTAGAGGAGGTGGAGAGAAAGCTGTTTGCTCTGGAGCATGAGTGACCTCTGCTTCAACAAAGATTGCAGCAGCTGAAACAGAAACTAATGGCATCAGGAAAGAGCAGAGGAGATAAGGAAAAGAAATTTAAGGAGTAATCTGTACATTATGCTCCTCAAGGAAGGAATCAATGGCCCCCCACTAAAGACATTCTTAGAAATGCAGCTCCCTGGTATTTAAAGCTAGAGTACAGTATAAACACAGCAATCTTAAAATCAATTGTGCCCTAAATCCCCTGGCTCAGAAAAGGCAAGGCTAATACCTAATAATGCTCTGGCTCTGCACAGTTAAGGGGAACGTACTTGCAGAGCTGTGAACACTGATGGAGCAAAAATAAAAATAGAAAAGATTTTTCATGTACCTTGCAGCATCAGTACAAAAGGAAAGCTTGGCATCTGTTTAGGTAAAGACATCCCAGAGTGGGGGAGTCTGTCTACATAGGTCACAGGAGCAAACTCGAAGTGGGAGCTAGAAGGCTCCCACTTGCATTCTGATAACAGCTGTGTAGTTAGCACTTCCAAGCTCTGGCTTGGGTTGGAGCTCTGAAGGACGCCTCTGTCCTCTGGCTTCCAACAGATGGTATCTGAGGCCATAATGTTGAAGAACAAGTGAGTCACTCTCTAGCATTTTCTGTCATTACAACCATTATCGGTTCTTTTTGGCTTAATGTTGGAAACCTACATCATGGGAGGGTTCGTGACCTAATCCTAGCAGAGTGCATTAGTCCAAATCACATTCATTTACTGATCTCCTCTTATTCTGGAAAAGGAAGCTAAAAATATATCATCTGCAATGCCACCTCCCTCCTCGTAGAACTCTCCTGTGCCAGGATGCCTATGAAAAACACAGAAATGATTAGGCCACTGGTGTGATGTTACCACTGCTGACCATGCATACCAGGAGGGTGTCACTGGTTCCTTGTATTGTACCGATTTTCTGGTTGTAGCCCCTTGTTATCTCTTATCTCATATATACACTGTATGCTCTTCGGGGTAGGCACTATGTTTTTGTTTATACAGCACCTATCGCAATGGGGTTCTGATCCCTGCCTAAAGCCCCTAGATGTTATTGGAATGCAGATCAGTAAATAGTCACACTCTCAATGAAGATTGGCAACTGGCCCAAATCCATGCAGCTAATTTCCATTGGGGCTGAATAAGCATTACTGTGGCCACCTCTCCCTTCCCCTCAGCTCCTAGAATTGTTTTAATAGGAGAAGGAGCAACAAGTGCTTCAGTGATATTTTAAAAAACATTAACAAATGAGTAAACGTTGATACTTGCATACTAGGGCCTTCAGGATAGGATCATGAGAGGATTTGGGGTAGCTTTGTGCAGGGGGCTAGAACAGTGTGTCGTGGGGGCACTAGGAGCCACTGAACCTACGTGTAAATCCTGTATGTAATAGAACCCATGTCAAGCCAGTGAGAGGGGTATGGATGTGAGAGCCATTCTAGTTACAGCACAGATGGGTTTGTGAGGGGGATGTGTCTTTTGGCACATGCCCCAATCATAAACAATCCTTCACACCTCTTCCCTGCTCTGATCTTGTATCTTATCCTACTCCCACCTGGAGCCAAGAGCAGAGGAAGAGAGTAGGGATGTAATAAAGGATTTGCCCACTAGATTACAGTACCTGTCATGCTACTAGGCCATCCTAGCTTGCAAGCACAGGTATGTCCACACAGCACTGGGGCGTGAGTGGGTGGAAGCCTTCCAACCCCTGAAACCCTGATCAGACTAGCCTCTGAAGAGTGCTGGATAGACAGCACTTTGAAGTTGTGGGTCTTGCCACCTTCTCCAACCTTGGACTTCAGAGCCTGTGCTCCAGCCCAAATCACAAGGTCAAATCACTGTCTGTACAGCAGTTTTTAGAGCACCATTAACCAAATTCTGTCACTGAACAGGGAGGGTCTTTTCAAAATTCTGTGTAGACGTGCTCACAGGCTGTTCAGCAACAATACTGGTGTATTCTGCACCCGGCAAGCTAGCAGTGACCTTGAAGCAACTCTACTGCCCTTATCTGTAGCCCAGGTGGCCATGGGCCTGGCCCCAATACCCATGAACTGGTCTGAAGTCTCTCCAGAAATCAACCAAGATTTGAAGTAAAAAAAAAAACCCAAAACCCCAATGAACAGAATAGATACCACATGTGTGTTCAGTATCTTACTATACTCTATAAAGGGTGCCATGAGAATTAAGCCTTAACACATCCTTATTACAGAATTAGCATAGTTTAATTATTGTTACACCATGCATACTGTGCTGCTCCGATGTTGAATGCTATCAGTTCATTCCATCACAAGAGCAGAGTAATTTAGAGAGCACTTTGACAAAGTATATTAAAGCACATGTAAATGGAGAGAGAGTCTGATTCTCTCTTCTGAAACATCTTGGGTAGGAAAAAATTGACAGTGTTGTAAATAGAAACATGAAAACAATGTAGATAGAGATTTTTTTTTCTGTAGACTAAGAAATACATCTCTGAACAATCTAAACCTTAAAGCAGGATTAAGCTTTGCTGAGAATAATGCACATGCATCTACAACTGAGTTTTTCAAAACCTTGAGTAACTTCTGTTTCTTTAAACCACAGTAGTTTTTTATTCATATGGATTGTATTTGCTGAAGAGGTATCTAGTGTGATTCTGTCATTGAGGAGAACATGTAATGGAGGGTTTTAATGGAATGTGTGATACAGGCATAAGGGTCAAATCCTACAGCACAAAAGGAACCTTAAAGCTGGCTTTACTGTCGTATTGTGGTTTCCCAGTGACTAGTGGCTGTGGCTGGAGAAAAGGGCATGAGGCAAAGCATAAAAATAACTCACCAGTTCCCAGCTGCTGGAACTATCCCTTTGGGCCAGAGATAGTTGGCCAAAAACGGCCACAATTTAGAGCAGCTCTGAAAGGCAGATCAACTCTCAGCCTCAGCATGCTCCAAGATCAAGGAAGGGGCATAAAGTCTCCTTCGCCTTCTCCCCTCTTTGCCTGGCACTCTTTGCTGAACTGGAGAACCTGGGCTGAAGTTTAGGACAATTATTACATTTCATTATAAAAAAAAGTGAGTAGAAATCATAGTTTTCCAATCTGCATCCCTCCTTCCTCCTACATTGTGTACTGGGGTTTTTTTTGCTCTTACTGGTTCCATATTCTTTTCTTTATTACTCTGACCATGGCAGGTTTGTACTTGTCAGTCATATTGGGCTTGCCGTCACTAGAGGCTTCTTCTTATCCTGAGTTTACTGATCACCATTTGCTCAAGGCAGCTAACAGCTTTGTAATACTAGTCTGGATAATCCTCAGATGCCTGATTCCTTTAGGGTTGGAGCCCTGACCATATATTTGTCCAAAGTATACAAACGTGTTAACTACCTCCAATTCACTGGCAGTCAATTGACTTGAGGTGTAAAGACAAAGGTACAAAACTTCTAACCCATCTCTCTCTCTTCCTCCTCACCCCGCCCCCACACAGAATCCTTTGAGAATGTTAGTAGCCACTGTGTTGCAATTTGCCCCTGAAATTCATTGCTACATTTATTTTATTACTGTTTAAGGAACATTTTAAGTGCTTTAAAATGAATGCACTTGGCTTTAAATGTGGCTTTGTGATGCTATTAATAAGATATATTAGATCTTTTAGAACACTTTAGAATACTTTTAAGAAAAATTCTTCTCTGCTTAAGTGGCTCTGTGTTGCAGCACCTAAGCATGAGAAATTGCCTTATTCATGTTATGCTTCCTCATCACATCTTCCTGATCTGGCCTTGTTTCATTTTGCCACTGCAGTAATGAAATATCCCTCTGAACTCCTGTTGTGTTACATTAATTTTAAATAGTGAGAACAATTTAGGACCAAAAGTTCTTTTTGTATTTGCTCCCACCCCTCTTACTCGCCCTATTTGCTCTCTTCCTTCCTTCCCATATGCCGATGTTTCCATCCAACCAAATAGGCCAGGTCAACTACTCCAAACACACACTCCAGTTAAGAGCTCCTGGGCATTCCGTTCCTGATGAAAAAAGCATCCATGACACCTGGCCGGTACAGCTCCCCTTGTATCCCTGCTCCAAAGGAAGAATAGTAGCATCTAGGTCACTCAATCTCCATTCTTTCTTTCTCAAGAACCTGTACCAATGAGCTGCTCTGCTCCCAGTTCCTGCCCTCCTTACGTTGGGCTAGGATCTAGACCATGACAACACAGGCTAGTAAAACATGATGGAAAGACAAAAATCAATGGGATATTGTAATATTTGACTATAGACTGTACAAGATGGTCATCTGAGGTTGTAGAGGTGGGAGAGTAGCATTGTGCCTTCATCTCGTGACTCTAAGCCTTAAATTAGCAAATTGTGCACAAACATTGAAATATTCTAACCTATTTTCTTTTTGTCCTCCTTAGGGCTTACTTGTTGCAACTATATTCTGTTTCTTCAATGGAGAGGTAAGCATGTGAAATTCATCCACTGTACTGAACACAACTCAGCCTCTTAAAGTAGTTGGACTGTTGTTCACAATTAGCATAAATGGAGCGCCATATATCTATATTTTATATGCAGATATGATGCAGCGCTTTACATTTTCATTGCACTGTAGAAATGCTAATTTTTCCTTGCAGCATTGCAAGGACAATGGTATTTACAGAGCAGATGGTGGAAAATGAGATACAGAGGATAAGGTCCTCATTCTGTAGCCTCTCAATTTCATTTAAGTCAGAGGAAAGAAAAAAAGAGGTTACCCTCTACATTAGCTTCTTTCATATACCCCAATTCTGCCTCCAAGCCAGAATAGTTGGATGATTGGCTAAAATAATCAGCTGTGAAATAGTCAATGGTGCTAATCTGAGAATTTTGAGCATTAGGCGCCATTGTCAACATCTTGAGATGAATGGAAGTCATGCATATTTCTCAGAGCTTTTATTTCTATCTATAATCATAAGCCCTAGAAACTATTTTTAATCATAGCTTTTATCCTGCACAGTGTGTTTGGGTTCCCAGAGAAAGGCTGATGTGGAGGACAACAGTATACTGCCTCAGCCCAGCCCCTGACCTTAAAAGTTAACTTGCTTGTCTAATTAAACTGAGAAATACAAACTCTTAGCATCATGTATTCAGAGCATCAGTTCTATGTCATTCTGGAGTGCCTTTTCATTAATTCACTGGAAGATCAGCATTGGCCTCTGTTAAGGTTTATGCTTTGTAAGTAGTAATTGATAAATAAAAACCCTTGAGTGAAAGTTCTCTCCCACTCTCATACAGCAGGATCAATATGTTGTATATCCACTACTGCTTCTAGGGCTACTCCACTGTAATAATGGCATTAAATACAAATAGCTTGGTAAGACACTTCAAAAGCTGCTTTAATATCTACAACAAGCCATTTTCTGAAAGGCAGCATAGCAGAAAAATACTTTTGATACATGCTGGGAACACTACTAGGAGACTCAGCTCAAATTAAAACAAGCTATTTCTTATAAAAATGGGGTGCACTTGAAAAGGCTAGTTTTCAGCATTGTGCAAAGGGAGATGGGTACATAACTTCCTTCAGCAAAAATCAAGACTCAGTATGTTACCCTGTAAAGCTAAACACATCTGTACATAGATGATGACTAATCTGACTGGTGTAATAACATTGATCATAATTAGGTGGATAATCAATGGAAACAATTACACAAAAAACTGCCATGTATTTAACCAGGCCTCCAACTGCAGGTGCAAGTAACTGTGAGAATACATTTGTGTCTGAATTTAGCACTGTCTGAAGAATAGAAATGTAGGCATCAACGGAACCTCAAGAGGTCAATTAGTCCAGATCATTTCAACATTGAGGCAGGATAACGTATACTAGATTATCCCGCATATAAATGCTGGATGGAATCCCAAAATCAAAACATGGTATCTAAGGGCTAAATCCACCAAAGGATCAATGCTGAGATTCTCAAACTCCCTGCTCAGGCACCACCTAACCTAGAAGGCATCCAACATCATTAGGAATGTGATTCACAAAGGTGCTTTGATGTCTAAATCTTGTTTTTAGGTACCACTGTGATGCACAAAACTCCCACTTGCCTACTCCCTAAACCTGCGGACACTTAAATTCACTCAGTGTGCATAAGATTTGTAGTAAAAATTCCCTAAGCACCTATGTTTCTGCTCCTGAGCATGAACACTGCTCCCTAACTCTAATTGCCTAAACCCCAGTGTTATTCACAAACCAGGGAAGATAGCTGTTAGTCCAGCCAACTCAGATGCAGGGAAATCAAGCCACTCGGCATACTCAGAGCCTGCCTCCCAGATAGGGTCCCTTACGCAAGTTCACAGAAAATAACTGGGGTGTAGCAAGGAGGAGGACTTATCTTATAACCTTTAGACTATCAGGTAACGCAGTATCAGTGCTCCTTCCTCCAGGGGGGTCAGGGAGAGGGAAGCAGGAGCTTGATCAGGGATTGGCTATTATCTCAAGTAAGTTCCCAGATCACTATGCTATCTAGTCCTTCTAACTCAATGGTCCCCAATGCAGTGGCTGTGGGGGCCATGGCGCCCGCCAGGGCATTTATGTGCGCCCGCCAAGTGCTCGGGGCCGGCCCCACCCCGGGCATGTGGCGCATGCGCGGTGCTGGTCCCAGGTGCACAGTGCATGCACAGTGCCAACCTCGGGCACATGGGTGGCCCCGCCCCCGGGAGCGCAGTGCATGGGGAGCACTGGCCCTGGGTGTGTGGCGCATGAGTGTCCCCGCCCCCGGGAGTGTGGTGAATGGGTGGCCCTGCACCCAGGCACACGGCGCATGGAAAGCACTGGCCCCGGGCACGCGGCTATGGGGTACGCTGGCCCTGGGCGCGCGGCGAATTGGCAGCCCCCGGATGCGCGGCACATGGGGTCGTTGCTCCTGGGCACGCGGCGCATGCGCGGCCCTGCCCCCGGGTGCACAGCAGCTCCAAAAGGTTGGGGACCATAAAATCATGAGTGGTGTGGAGAGGGCCGATAAAGAAAAGTTATTTATTAGTTCCCTAAATAGAAGAACTAGAGGACGCCAAATGAAATTAATGGGGAGCAGGTTTAAAACTAATAAAAGAAAGTTCTTCACACAGCGTGTAGTCAACCTGTGGAACTCCTTGCCAGAGGAGGCTGTGAAGGCTAGAACTATAACAGAGTTTAAAGAGAAGCTAGATAATTTCATGGAGGTTAGGTCCATAAAAGGCTATTAGCCAGGGGATAAAATGGTGTCCTTGGCCTCTGTCTGTCAGAGGCTGGAGAGGGATGGCAGGAGACAAATTGCTTGATCGTTGTCTTCGGTCCACCCTCTCTGGGGCACCTGGTGCTGGCCACTGTCGGTAGACAGGATGCTGGGCTGGATGGACCTTTGGTCTGACCCAGTACGGCCGTTCTTATGTTCTTATGACCACTGTTCTAACTCTTCACTGGCCTAATTAACATTTAATTACACAATTATTTAAATAAATAAAGTGAAACCACTTCAGTAGCAGAGATGAGGGAGACCCACAGCAGATCTGGAGTTAGGCTAGTCAACTGCGAATTGGCTGATCCCTGTTCAAATCCCTTCTTCTGTGAGTGGAGATTTCCACCCCTTTGCAAGGGGTTTGCTAGGTTAATGATTACAAAGAAGGTTCTCCACACACCCAGCTGTTTTGGGCTTTGCATGCAGCACTGGTGACTAAACACCTACCTTCGTCCCATTTGTAGATCACTGGCAGAGATGGGTGCCTCCTCAGAGCCCAGACTTAGGCACCTAGCACTGTGAGTAGGGCAGTGCTTAGCACTCACCCCACTGGTCAGTATCTCCAGAGGCTTGCTTCGTTGGCTTCCCACCTCGTATGCTGGCTTTGTAGGTCACAATTTAAGGCACCCTTCTCTCCCCATTGGTGCTTAAGCATTAGGTGCTGTGATGCACTTCAACACCTTCTTCCCTTTGTGGCTCTCATCCTAGGTGTCTAAATTTCAATGGTTAAAATACCCTAGGTGCCTACATTTCTGGCAGTGAGCATGTACACGACTGCCTGAGGTGAGGTGCAGGGATGTCTCTCTCACACTGAAGACCTAGCAGGATAGGTCATACTGCAGACAAAGGTGTTGGTGCCCGACCCTACCCTGGTCTTTTAGCACACTGATTAGAACACTCACCATATAGGTGGGACACCCAGGTTGAGCTCCCCCATGTAGAGTTCTTTCCACCCCTCAGGAAAGTGTCTGTACTGCCTGGATCATGTTTGTGCTCTGGAGGAGAGTTCTCTCCATGTCTCCTATTGAAGCTTTTCCACAGTTTATAAATAATTTAGTCACTGGAGCAGATGACTGTAACCTGCATTTGCTCCTTTCCAGCTGAATGTGCTGACCAGTGGGCTCTGGTGTTCATCCAATTCCTGGTTTCCAAGTATAACAATGAAGTTGTGTCCTGTGTGTCCTTGTAAAAAATTACAGCATGGTCATAGCTAATGTAATGCAAAGTGTCACTCATAAATTAGATAAGAGATTAGCTGATGGATAATGAATTACTTTATGGTTTACTAATTTAGCCATAATGTGGTGTTAAGCAGAAAAATCAAAGGCCAAGTTTCAGGAACATTACTAAGTATGAAGTATTCATCACAATTTTTATTTTCATACAATATTTACATAAAATTAGGAATCCAGATTAATACATTCATATTAAGTAATTAAAAAACCATATTCATTTCACAACTCAAAATTCTTAATGCTTTCTCAGGTCATTCAGTTTCTCCTGCCCATTTATAATTTAGTATTTGCAATAGGCAGTTAGTAATGTAGACTCTATTAACTTCTACCAGAGTTCCATTGCAATTCAGGTCCAGTAAAATTAACATATTATTTAAAATAAAGTGTCTTGATAAAAAGCCAAACATCCAGAACGCTTACATTCTAAGGAAATGTTAAAGTTTCCCATTGGCTTCATGGTTGCTAATTTAAGACAAGTCAATTACTGTGCCAAAATCTTCATCAGATCCAAATTCAGGTCACTACACTGTTCATTGGGTGTTTGGATTTGGCATTCTGTGTTGGCCCACTCAGCCCTTTTTTTTTTCTGATAGTGGCTATTTGTAAAATCGGGGTTCAAATTTCTGTCACTGGAGAAGAGTAATGTTTCATACATTCTTCCAGCACCCAGCTAAACTTCTGGTGATAGAAAATCTCCATAGCAATTAGTGATTTCCCCAAAGGATGGGGAGATTTGTCTACTTGATGACTCCAAACCTGACATCTCCAGTTTCATAATGCAGTGTTAGTTAAGAGTTGCTTCCTCGGCCTTCAGACCTTTTAAGACTCTTCCCCCTCTGACTAATAGTCACTTGGCCAGAAGATCCAAACTATGGCTGGGGCATCTGAACAGTCAGAACACACACTCCCTGGATCTCTTGTTACTATACCCCTTATTGACATATATCATGGTCAGCAGAAGAGTAGTCACAT